ACCCTTTATCAGAATTTCTCAGTTCTTGCTTTTTAAGATGATCCAGGAGGTAAAATATTCACTTCCAAAAATCTCAAGGTTCTCCTTGATATGTCCGTTCACACCATAGATACTTTAACGTTAGTTTTCACACATCAGAGCTTTTGCTAATAGTGTTGTTCTTCAGTGTTTACTTGGCTTTTGTCTTGCAAAACAGACTATGGTCTTCTCAGAGGCTGAAGCTGTATCTTATTCTTGACATCTGTGTCAGATTGCTTTAGTGAGTGGTTGTTAAATACCATTGGTTAATTGCATTTCCAGGTGGGATAAAAACACTGGTAATTTCTTCTCTTTCACAAGGCCACATGGTCATCAAAAAAAAAGCAAAGATTACTAGGTGGTTTTAACAAATAATTAGGTTCTTCTGTATTCTGGAACATTCTCTGATATCTAGGGGAAAAAAGCATTCCATTGCATCTATTAAGTGTCTGTAGGTATTTTAGAGAGTTGGAAGGCAAAAATATACCAAAATGTAGAAGAATATTCCTCCAACTCACATCCACTCTGTATCTCTTCTCAGGTTTCAGGAATTCTTCATCATTGTCAGGAGGTTTTGTAGGGAACTTGTCCAGAGTTCCTGCAGCAGCCCAAGGGAGAGCCAGCAGTATCCCCTGCAGAGTGGGATTTCTATGAAAAAGGAGCACTTCTGGTCAATTCAGAGAAATTAAAAGGCTATCCAGCTGTAGGCAAATGTATTTGCTTTAAATCTGTACTGTGTTCCAGAAGGAAATGGCTTTAGTCATCAGCTGCCTATTGGCAATTGCCGTTTGTTTCCAAGTAAGGGAAGATTACCAAAAATGTTTATTTTTTAGCTTATTCAAATATTTATATTTTCTCTAGCTTCTTTTCTGAAATATTTTGGCTCCCTCTTTTTTCTGATAAACAACTGCTGTTCACATTTTCTTTGTTCCACTAGTTTATGAATGTTAGCTTTAGAATGGATCTGTTTCTTCAAGGATCACTGGAAAGTGAGATTCCACGTAGATCGATACATGGCAAAGTAGAGAAAATTTACAGTTCTCTGACCCCAGAAACTGCAGTTTAAAAATTAATATCCTAAGGATTTCAGAGGGAGAAGAGAACCGCCCTGTGAATGCCTCACATGTGTAGATAGTCCCTCAGAAAGGGAGCCAGCAAACGGCAGGCTTCTGTGCTCTCATACTCCTTGTTCCTCCAGGCTGCTGTTCTGGCCAGAGGTCAGCCTTCTCAAACTTGCTACCCAGTCCCTTTGCCACCTCTCCCTAGCTCCAGTCACAAGCTCATTTCCCTTCCCCCTTACTTCCTTGAGATACTTAGGTGTTAGTCTTGCCCCGTGCCCTCCACATTGCCATTAGGGCCTGTGACCCCATTTGCTGCTCTCTGCTTTCTTAGAAGTTCTGGTCTCTGGTTAGCTGTGCCTCTGCTTACGATAACTGAGACCTAGAATAAAAGAGATAGCAAATGTGGGGAAACATACATTTGGCTTTGAATCTGTTAGATTTGAGAGCTATAAGATTATTAGACATATATGTCTAGTAGGTAATTGCACCTATGGGAGAGATTGAAGTTATAGGAGAGTGAGAGACCAGTGGATGATACAAGATCCCATCGGTGATGAAATGGGTTAGAACCTAATATACTAGGAGAGGAGTGTTTATTATTTGGAGAGGAGAATATGTCTTTCCTTGGGGCTGGAGGGCAGAGGTTGAGTACTCTAACAGATCTCTCTGGTGCTGAAAAGAAATGAAGAAGGGGGGGTCCTTGTGTGCTAGCTAAAGGAGATAAGAACATTGAGAGTGAGGAAGTGGGGAGGGCAGCAGGTAGTGGTGAGGTCCTGTGACATTTGGAGTGAGTAGACTAGGGAGAGAGAAGAGGCTGTGAGGAAGGGCTTGCTGATAGGATTATGGGTCTGTCTTGAACTTAGGGGTCATTCTTGTGTAGCAGCACCCTTTTCTCCAGGAATGATTTTCCTCCATCTGTGCTGGGCAACATGAGAGTGAGAGGTGGTTAGGGTGCTGGTGTGGCCCTCTAAGAGTATGGAGGGGAATGAACCAGTTATCATGTCAGTAACCTTGTAGTCTTCGGGGCATAGTCTGTAGGAAAGTGAAACCAGGCCACTGGCTGGATCAGAGAGAAGGGAAATAGCTGAATTGTCCACTGTAGCCCAGTTCTGTACACCACCATTGGCTTACACATGTGTTTCATAAATGTTGGCTGAATCAGTGATGGAGACAAAGAACTGGTTTTATAGGAATCAGAGGTAGTGATGGGGTCTTTGATAGGGTGGGATTTTTGTGTTTGTTTTGGTTCTGGAGTAATTCTTTGTCATGTAGGTTTACTGAATACTGTAATATTGAAGCCCACCCGGGAAGGTGACAGGAGACAAAGTGAGCCAAGGGCCAAGGCCTCTGCAAAGTTTTTGTCTGTTGTTGATGTTTATGGCATGAGAAGTAGCCATCTTGAGTAGAATTTGTGAGCTTCAGGGTATAGGGGATTTCTCATGAGGGAAGTATGTCTAGAAAGGACCTAATGACCCTAAAAGAATGCAGACCCTATTGTCTAGACCCTAAGGGTTAGGTGTTGTAAGAACTAATGATAGGCAGGGAGAAGAGATCTGAGGAAAGCCAGGTTGTAGGAGAAGGTGGAGAAGACATTTGTGAAAAGGCTGAGAGTGTAGGGGCTGTTTAGAATAGTGGGGGGTCCCAAGATGGAGGACAAAACAGAAGGACTGCAGCAAGTTCTTGGCAGAGCACTGGAAGGCTTACTTGTGTCAATCTCTGGGGTTAGTAGTAGGCTGGTGCTTATAGGGGAAGCACAATGGGGCAGTAGGGTAGCTACTCTGGAATGACAGCTGATGCCACTGCGGTCTGCATTTGTCAGGGGACCTGTGCCAAGCTGACAGGTGTGTTGTCTTAATTATCCTCTTTGATCCTCATAATATGTTACCTCATTTTACAAAAACTGAAACTCAGGAAAGTTAATATACCTAAAGGTCACACAGTCTCATGGTTCCTATCCAATTCTTACTGATTATGCTTAATTTCTTTTGTGCACTTGCACTTCATGTATTGTCCTATTCAAAGACAGCATAGATACAGGAATATAGTCAATGCATTCTGTAGTGTTATAGTTAGTGTTGCTGGAAAGTCTGCTCCTTCTTGGCCCAAACACAACAACGGTGTAGCTAGCTCTCTAGCACCCCCTGGTGGCAGTGACAGAAGTGTGGTGTGCTAGGGTAAGAGTGAACACTGACTAGCCTGAGGTACCACAAAGTCAGTGATAGGCAGCAGCAAGACCATTTTCTTTGTTGTGAACATGGCACTTCCCAAATACAGCCTTTAACAGTTGTTTGTCTATGTATCTTAACTGTAAGGTAATAATATGATTTATACCCCTACAATGTTTAGGGACATTCAAGTATGAAAGTGTGAAAAGACACCCACAGTGAGAGTTATATCCTTTGGCTTGAACCCTTCTTATCCGTTGATAAACACCCTTTGCCCCAGCCAATGTCCAGGTCCATCCCTTTCCTTATAAGCTAGGATGGTACTCTCTTCCTATTTCCTTTCATCTTTATTATGTCCCATTTCGTTGGCTTTTTTCATTAGCATATGAACACATTTTAATACTGCCCATTGAAAAAAGAAAGAAAAGCTTTAGAATCTGTCACCTCTTTCTCACACCACTCCCAGCCTGGTTCCATTTTTCCTAGTTAAATTTCTTAAAGAATGGTTTCATAAACCTCTTTCCTATCACTCTTTTCCCAATCCACTGCCCCTTGCCTTCTGCCAATTCTATCTCTCCACCAAAACCACCCATGTGACCAGTTAATGGGAGAGGAGTACCTGTTCTTATCAAGACCCCAGTGGGCTGTTCAAAGAGTAATGTGAAATATAAGGCCTCATTGAAGGTCTTGAAGGTGGCAGCTATTCTGAATTTCAGCTATTGTTTTGCAGTTTGAGTTGTTTCTTTCATGACTATCAATCTAGCAGTAGGGCTGTATTATTGGGGCTGGCTGGTTATGTTCAGCCCCCAAGTAGGCTAGGTATCGATAGTTAATATTGGTGTTCCAGTGATGCCTTCATAGTCACATCTTTTCCTTTCTGGATACCAACTCACTTGAAAAATAGATTCAGAGATTAGATGGGTATCCAAACATAAACTTTCTTCATGGTGAAAGCTGGACTAGAGATATTCTGTGAGAAATTTGTGCTTTGTAATCTTGTGTAGTGAGTGGGTCTATAGAGTAGACCTTCATCCACCAGCTACATGGAAAGCCTTAGAGCCTGGCACTTATTAATTAGAGATGACATTGGTGACTAGTCAGTGGTCTGTAAATTACACATCTCAACAACTTAGCTTTTCGTATCTGTCTCTCCAGGGCTCTTCGGTCAGTGGTAGTGTAGTCTTCAGCAAGATTTCTGAATCCTAGTTGGCAGATTTTATAGGAGAGTGGTGGTACTGTTCTGGACATGAAATAGAGGGGTGGCTTCACTGGGTTGAGTTTTTATCCAGTTGAAAACTCCTAGGACTGTTTCTGACAATTTGGATTTTGTTAGAGCTAGATTTGTACATAATAATAAATGCTCATGCATTTATTAGTTAATGAGTTAATCAGTAAAGCCAAATTGTTAGTGTCCTTTCTGTTACCACAGATTCAGTTTGTTTATTTCTACATTTTACAGGTTGAATATAAGCTGGGATTCCAAGTAGACAATTTTGTGGCTATGGACATGCCCCAGGTCAACATTTCTGCTCAGGGGGAAGTTCCACGCACTTTATCAGGTGAGTCTGAAAGAGTGAACATACTGTTTTCAATTGTGTCCCCCATATCCCAAAAAGAACAGCTTAACAATTGACATATAGTGTATTCTACTTGATAGGCATAGGTGTATAAGTATTTTGAAAAGTAATTTTTGAAAATACTGATTATTTGCACTGTGTTTTAAACCATTCCCTCTTTTCCATCCTTTTCAGAACTGTCTATACTCAGTACTTCCTTATCTCCTTTTTCTGCATTGCTGGCACTGGCCTCCACATGGATCTCTGTGTCTGGTCTTTTTCGTTTTTGACAAATTCCCACACCATGGCCTGGATGATCACTGAACACTCCTATCTGACCAAATGACATCAAGCCCATCAGGGCCCCTTACTCCCATCAACTGAGTCCACTGCAGACTCTCCAGCCAGTGTGCTGTATGTTTATCCTGTCCCCTTACCTGCCTGTCTAGCTGTGTTGCTGCATTTGCCCTAGCATTCCAGTGGTGCCATACTACATGCGGTTTTGACATCCTTCCCTTTGCACGTGCTCGTCAGTATATTTGGAACTGCCTTTTCCTCTTTTCTGCTTATAAACTCCTACTCATACTACCCTGCAGGATCTTGTTCTTCCTACCCTGCAGGATCTTGTAATTTAAATGTTTTTGAACTGATCACATTATCTTGTAATTCTTTGTGCTTGTCTCTCCCTGCTGGCCTGTGGTTAACCTGAGGACAGGAGCTCTCTTTTTCAGCCATCTAGCATTGGTGCCTGGCACAGCATCTGCACAGGATAGTCACATAATACGTCTGACTAAATGATTTAAGTGTCATATATATACCAGTTTAACTACTATTGAGCCAGCCTTTTGAGAAAAGCTCCTAAAGATGTGAGATTTTAAGAACAGTGAACTTCTTAAAATTTGAAAGGGTAAGCCATGTACTTTCCACAATATTGTGGAACTTTTTCTGGCAGTCACTCATCATTATTGGTGACATACATTAAGCTTTAGGAAAGCATAGAGAGGCTTACTCATTTTTATGGGTCAGTAAAGAAGTTCAGAAATGCCCATATTTTTCATATGCTCATACAGATAGAATGATATTGTAGGGGCACCTAGGTGGCTCAGTCAGTTGAGCATTCAACTCTTGATTTCAGCTCATGTCATGATCCCAGGGTCATGGGATTGAGCCCCGCATTGGGCTCCATGCTGAATGTGGAGCCTGCTTGAGATTCTCCCTTTCTCTCTCTTCCTCTTCTTCTACCCTGCTTAGTGTGTGCTTTCTCCCTCTCTCTCTCTGAAAAGAAGAAAAGAATGATACTCTAAATTTATAGGAAAAGAATCTTAAACTGAAAGATTGGAAAAAAATGGTGTGCACCAAAGTCTGTTACCTCATTGCTACAATAATTGCTTAAAGTCAGTTTCTGTTTAGAAAGGGTTTTTTGGGGGTGCTTGGGTGGCTCAGACGGTTAAGCATCAGACTTCGGCTTGGGTCATGATCTCGTGGTCTGTGAGTTCGAGCCCTGTGTGGGACTCTGTGCTGACAGCTCAGAGGTTGGAGCCTGTTTCAGATTCTGTGTCTCCCTCTCTCTCTCTGCCCCTTCCCCGCTCATGCTCTGTCTCTCTTACTCTCAGAAATAAATTAAAAAAAAACAACACAACACATTAAAAAAAGAAAGGTTTTGTTTTGAAAGCTTTGTATTTTTTAAATTCACAGTTGACTGATTTATCAGGTTATCAGTTTATGGGTTTATATTTAATCTTCGTTAAGAGCAATACATAATTGCATTTTGGTGATAAATTGTCTTTCCTTTTTATCAAGTAATTTTTGTTATCGTTGCTGATGTGACTGGTAAGGTAGCATGGTTTGCCTTATTCAGTAGCTTTACTATATTATAATGAGAGGACTTATGAGACAAAGTAATCTATTAAAAATCATGAGAAAAAGTTGAAGATAATAATCTCTTCTTTTATGTCTTGACTTGTTCTTCAATGTTTAATTTTTATATCTATAATAAATGAATGATGTCTAAAGGTATGTAGTCTGAAGATAAGTTCTCTGAAAATTTTAGTATTATGTAAATATTCTTTTAGTTTTATACAACAAAAATAAAGAACTGTAAAATACTAGGTATTAATGTTGAATTTTTAGAAAATTAAAATATTTTTTCTTTTTTGTTTTTTAAACAGTGTTTCGGGTCGAGCTTTCCTGTACTGGCAAAGTAGATTCTGAGGTTATGATACTAATGCAGCTCAACTTGACAGTAAATTCTTCAAAAAACTTTACAGTCTTAAATTTTAAACGAAGGAAAATGTGCTACAAAAGTAAGGAATTTATTCACCAAAGTATGTGTTTTATATAGATGTCAAAAATACATTTTGTCATCTTTTTCTAGATTTGTGACCAAATCTTGATTATAGTAGCAAATGAGAAAAGAAAAAGCAGTAACAAATGAAATTCTGAGAAAATTGCCTGATAGCTACCTTGTTGCCAGGAATCTCACTCAGGCCCTGCTTTCTCAAAATCTTTTATCAGAATTGCTAATTCCATTAAGAATGTGAAATAGTATTAAAGAGGTAAAGAAGTCAAGTAATTCTGATAGGGGCCCCTGAGTAACTCAGTGTTAACTGTGTTTGTCTTATAACAATACTATGGCTCAGTTGTCCTGGGGCTGGATATACTTGGCAGGATATTTGGACAAGTTGTTTAACCTAGGTCTCAGTTTTTTCAGTTGTAAAATGGGCATGATAACCTGTTTCAGAAGTTGTTCTTATTTATTTTCTTTTTGGTTAATTGAATCAAACCTAAATCTTAGAATACTGTGTATGGGTACTTAATAAATGTTAATAGCTTTGGGTTTGAATAATCTGGTACTCAAGAAATGACAGTGGCTATGAGAATTCCCATGGGCAATAGATGAAAGAATTTGAGAGTTTTCCTGAAAGATTGTCCAATCCATTCACTTTAAGTTGCACAGAGGTAAAGTGACCTGAATTTGCGCTTTCTTTCACTTAATGTACAGATGGTTACTAAGATGTGGGGTGGGGGGAGGGAACTAAAATAAAGCCCTCTAAAATTGAGTGCCTCGTACTGTGCATTTGTACTATGTTACAAGTGCTTTTACATGCATTGAACCTATTTAATCCTTGTGACAATTCTAAGCAGCAGTTTCTGTCATTATCTCCATTTTCTGAAGAGGAAACTGAGGCTCAGAGAATCTGACCAACTTGCCAAGGTCAGACAGCTAAGAGGTGCAGCTGCATGCAAACTCGTGCTCTTAGCTCTGTTGTTAAATTCTGTCTTAACACATTTCCTAATTGAAGTTAGTGCTAAGGGTTAGGAAAATACTTGGGGCCAGCAAGTGAGTTATCATGGCTAATGTCCAGATAGATGCCAATAAAAGAGCTGTACTGCCTTAGAGTGGACATTTTTTAAATGGAAAGTTAGCAGGCACCTTTTATTTTCACTGTTTTGATATATTTTATAGTTCTAGTATATTCGGTTATGTGTGTACTTTCACACAATTTTAAAGCCAAAGAGGACTTTAGAGACTAGTTCAACCTAGTCATTATATAATTGATGTGAGGAGACTTGTCCCTGGAGAGGCCACCTAAGTTTGCACAGCCAGTCAGGAGTGTAGAAGCCTGGTTCCTGATGCTTAGGGAGGGTGTTCTGACTGTACCATGGTGCCTCGTCTCTTAATATCTAAAGGCAAAATGATGGCCAAATATGATGTGATCAATGGAGCCCACCACTGTTAGTATCCACTGAGGTTAATGGTTAGATGACATTCAGAATGATCTCATACTTTCTCCATTTTCTTTAATGTGTACATGAAAATTAACATTAACAGCATAATTTTCTATTCTGTTTTAACTTAAGTTTAATATAGTGCCACCCTTTTCATTTTGTTGTCATACTTCTGGCTACCCCAGTTATCCAATTTATGACTCTTACTTTAATATGTGATCCTAATGTGTTTGTGTGGTTTTCCACCTACTACATTTAAAAAACTGCAACAGAAAACATATCTGTACTATATCAAATGCTAATGGGTGTTACTGGCAAGAAAATGTTCCTTTTTTATGTGAGAGTGGGGACCGCTGGCTCAGATAAGTTTCATTACTTAAGCATTCCTTAGAGCCTTTATACTCTGCTAATGTGAATTGTGAATCTCCACAGATGATATAATACTTGGCTTTCCCCAAACTTCTTGACCACAGAAATCCTTTTTCATTGAGCATCTATAAACAACACCCATAGACTAATGATTGATGATTAGAGTGATGATGATCAGAATAGTAATGTAGGATTTATTATCTTGCAACAAATACCTTGTTAATTAGTTCAGGCAATGTTCTAATAGAACTAAAACTATGTTAGAGAAAAATTCAGAAAGTGTATTTTAAGTATTTAAGGATTTTCATGGAAAAGAAGGAATTTCTAAAAGCATCTTTTATCTTTTTTAAATTCAGAACTTGAAGAAGTAAAAACTTCAGCCCTGGACAAAAACACTAGCAGAACTATTTGTAAGTGTTAATGTATTACCTTTCTCCATCATGAGGAATAAAAACTGCCTGATTGTAAATGTACATGATTGTATGAGGCTTGGAGGCCTAGTAGTGTCCAGTTTGCCAAAAGATACATGAGGCCTTACTATTTATTTCACTGATTGGTATATAGTCAGATGAAACTGTTAGAATATTGAAATATTTGTAAAGCAAAATTCATACATATTTTATAATAAATGATCTAAAAATTTTTTATAGGCAAGAATTTATATCACATCATTTCAAATGGTAATAATTAAAGTATGATAAGATCCTCATCTCAATAGCAGAAGGTTAGAAAATCTGATTTGTGGCCTGGACCAGTTAACCCTCAGCTAATTTCATCCAGGTGAAAATGCAGCTTAAGGATACTTAAAGATACTTACTTAAACCTGCAGAGCAGAAACTCAAAGTAGATTTTTATTTTGGTAATGGTTGTGTTTAAATGGTATAACTTAGACTTCTTTTTTAGTTTTCTGATGTGGACACATTGAGTCCTATTCTTCCTGAGAGAGTTTTAATAGCACTATCTTAAAAGGATACTAGATTCTCTTCATAAAAGTAAACTTTAAAAAAAAATTGTGGAAGGGAAGAGTTTCAAATATGCAAAAGCTGAGAGAATGCACTGATGAACCTTTGTTCATTTGTGTGACCATTACCCTCCTTCAGTAATGATCAATGTTTTGCCAGTATTGTTCCATTGATTTTCTCCTCCTTTTCTGGATGAGTAAGTGGGTGGGGAGGGTTGGGGTATTTTAAAGCACGATCCAGGCATCATTTCATGTATAAATATTCCAGTATGGATTTCTTTTTAAAAAGGCAATTAAAAAAACAACCCACAAACACCCAGCACCTATTCACTTATATTTGATTTATCACAAAATTAACAAAATTAACAGTAGTTCCTTAATAAATTATTTGGCTAGTTCATGTTCACATTAACCTGATTGTCTCAAAAATATCTTATACTTTCTCCTCCACAGTGGGATCAAATGAAGCCCACACACTGTTTTGTTGACAAATATTTTATATTAATCAGAGATCACCCCTCTCCCCTGTATCACTTTTTTGTTGACAAAATGGAATCACTTATCACATAGAATTTCTCACTTCTTCATCCTTGTGGCATTATTTAACATATTTTTCTTTCTCCTATAAACTGGTATTAGATTTTGTACTTGATTAGATTTAGGGCCAACTCTTGGCAAGAATAGTTCATAGATAGTAGTATGTGCTTCCTGTTTTATCTTTTTCTCACCTCAGGAGGCAAAGAATATCTGGATATCCCAACATGCGCCTTTTTTGAAGATAAAATAATATGAAATGTTGTCTACTTTTTTAGAATATTTCATTGGATTTATCTCTGAGAAGAAAGAAAACCATTTTTTAAAATATCACTGCTTCTCAAATTTACTTTGAAAATTCTGGTGACTTTACCCATTTCTTTTATGTTAATAGGATGTTATTTCTAACAAAGAGAATAGAATATTGCATATTCTTGGTCTCTGGCTCTTTTTCTTGATACCTCTCTCCTTCCCTCCCTTTCTATCCATCTATCCAGCATTTTTTGAGGATGTGTGGTACGCCAGGTGGTATGATTGGAGGCAGAGGATCAAACTGTGAGCAAAACAGTCCGTGCCCTCAAGGGCTTATGATGTAGAGGATGAGATGGACAAGGCAATAAGGCAGTGATAATAACAAGAGTGTGGCAAGCTATGGTGCTTTGGGAACCCTGAAGAGGGGCATGTAATCTCTGACGGAGTGAGGGACAGCTTCCTGAGAAAGTGGCATCTCATCTGAGGCTTGAAGGGTGACCAGGTGGTGGCAAGTGAAATGTCAAAGTGAAGGAATAGGAGCAGTGCATACACAAGCCTGGAATTTGGGGGGTGAACAAGTAGGATACATTCAGGGGACCTGCCCGGCAGAGCAGTGTCTTTCCTCTTCTCTGCCCTGGTGTGTGCTTGGATAGGTACTGCCAACACCAGCCTTGGCGACCTTCCTTTTCTGCCCCTCCCAGGATTGACTAGCCTGTGGCATTCTTCAGGAAAGTCAGGCCTTCGTTCACGCTGTAGTAAAGTGTAGCTGCTCTGGAAGCCATTTGGTTTCTTTGCTTTAATCTGTTCTGATTTATTGTTTGTTGATTCAAAGCAAAGTTTAAATTTTAGAAAGCAACCTGATTCCCAAGTTTTTCAAAGCTATAGCTTTTATCTTTGTCCTTACCTATCCCCAGAACTCCACTTGTATTTCTTGTCAGCTTGACATGTCCATGTAGATGTATACTGGGTATTCTTAGTCACAACAAAACTATTGATTTTTTCTCTCTTCCCTCAACTTGCCTTTTTTTTTTTAATCTTTGTAAAGTTACCATTATCCACCTAATTCTTTAAGCCAAAGTTTTGATTCTTCTCTTTCTTTTTACCCCAGTATCATTCATAAGCAAGGTCTGTGAACTATACGCCGGTCCATTAATTTATCTTCCGTAACACTCTTGCCCACACCACTGCTGTCTCTTTTTTAGACTACTGCAGTAACCTTCTAACTTCTTCCCTTTCCCTGTTGTTGCTCAACACTCATAGCATTCTTTGCACAGCATGCAGTTGGCTTTGTTTTTTTTTTCAGCTGTCATAGTGTATATCATTCCTTTGCTTAGTAATGATTTCGTGTCTTATTTAGGATAAAACCCAAATTTCTCAGGTTTTATTCAGTAGAATTATAATGTGAGTGCTCGGGGCGCCTGGGTGGCGCAGTCAGTTAAGCCTCCGACTTCAGCCAGGTCACGATCTCGCGGTCCGTGAGTTCGAGCCCCGCGTCAGGCTCTGGGCTGATGGCTCAGAGCCTGGAGCCTGTTTCCGATTCTGTGTCTCCCTCTCTCTCTGCCCCTCCCCCATTCATGCTCTGTCTCTCTCTGTCCCAAAAATAAATAAATGTTGAAAAAAAAAAAATGTGAGTGCTCATCATCAAAACTTACTTGATGCTTCAGTTACACCAGTTCTGCTTCTATTTCTCTGTCTTCACCTGTCCTC